TTTTTTTTCTGATTGTTTCTGATTCAGGTGCTTCCCCTGGCCCAGGTCAAGATGCTTTTTATAATGGTGATGCTGCCCTGTTGCAAGTTCTTCATTTGGAAACCCGATAGCTCTCTCATGCTTTAAGGCTGAGACAACAGATGAGTCACTGGAACAGGCTGTGAGAGCTGAAGGCCCTTGGACGTGATGTCATCCAGCCTCATTACTGAGGATGTGAAGGGATGAGCTCAAGGTCATGCTGTGAAAAGCAGAGTGAGCGCTAAACTCCAAATCCAAACTGCTAGGCTAGTGAGAGAAGAGAAAGCTCTAACTTTGTCACTTGAAACTCCTTTCCTAAGGAGTGTGACATAAAATGAGTAAAAAATATTGTAGATGATTTAAGCAAATGGCAAAGACTAGAACCATGATTGTGAACCATCAAAAATGAGGCTATGATAATTGTCTCAAAATGCTCATCCTTTTTTATAGCTGAGTAGTATTCCACATTCCACTGTTTCTCATCTACTTGTGTCTTTTGGCACATAGGTTCTTTTCATTGCTTGACTACTGTAAATTATGCTACAATGAGCACAGGAGTGAATATTTCCCTTCAAGTGAAGGATTTTTGTTTTCTTAGGGTTGGTATCTAAAAGTGCAATTACTGGGTCATATGGTAGAGCTACTTTAATATTTTGAGAAATCTCCATACTTTTTCACATAGAGGCTAGAAATCTGACTGTAGAACAGTTTACCGAAGGGGAGGAGGAAGAGGAGAGGTTAAAATGGGGGAGGAGCACTGTGGGCTAAGGTGGAAGACTAGGAATGTCTTGGTGTAATGTGGACAACAATATCTGAAGGGAATCTTATCCTCTAAATCATAAACATTGTAAATCTGTTACCACAATTTTAAAAAACCCCACTAAAATTGTGTGTTATGACTTTTTCCTTTATAAAGCCTGGGAGCTCACGCACATAATATTTTGTAAGGCCATTTAGTCATATCATGTGTGAGCATGATATACTGCTTAGTTGATTTTTATTGTTCTTTTGTTCAAATTGTAGTTCTCTTGCTTTTAGTCACCAATGAATTGAAGAATGTTTTCTTTTTCTCCATGTTAATCAAGGTTAGGAAATAATTGCTGAAGAGTTCCAGCAACATTTAAAATGTAAATTCTATAAATCACCCTGAAGGGTCTGAATTAGGAAGATATACATGATTTGGAATTGTTTTAGGTTTGTCAAATCATCTAGAAAAAGAGTCCAGATTAGTTCCATATACCATGAATAACACTAGGACAGCTTTATTTAAAAAAATCACATTAGTCCATTTAAGGATGAGTGATGTCTGACCAAGGGCTTGGAATTATTGTATGCCCAATTTCTAGAGAAGCCTTTCCTTTTGACATGAAGGGCTCTATTTACTCCAAACATCTATTATAAAATTATGTGTTGTTTATTCTTTTTTAAAAGGGGTGCAATCTGTGTCAGTGGGTTGAAGAGTAATTTAAATAAGCCCTTTGGTTTATGTTGCATATAAGAAGGCTTTACAAGATCTAATCTTTTCTAAACCTGTTATGTTCTTTGGTTCAGCAGAGCTTCCTAATTGTAGCTATTAGTTCCCCTTTTTTTGTGGTCTGTTCTGTCAATAGACTATTGAGTGTTCAGTAAATTAAGCCCAACCAGCAGCCAACACATCAAGACAGACGTTAAATCATAGCTTGGCTGCCCTTATTCATTACTAGTATTTGGAAACAGCTTTTAAGCACAGGAACAGGATTTAACATGATGCACATTTGTGTCATTCTCAAGTTTCCATACTGTACAATCAGGTATGTGAGGGTTTTTTTCTAGGCAACAGGTGTGTTCTTGGAACAAAGTTCAACCCCCATTTCTGGTCTATGTGAGAAGCAGCAGCTGCAAGCTTAATGTCAATGACACATGGTTCTATAAGAGAAAAATAAACTACTTATTGGGTGTATTAAAGCAATAGACAGATGGAGGCGAGCTGCCTGCATTTTCTTTTGTGTTGTAACACCAGAGTCTGAACTTAGATGACAAGTGTTTTTTGTTTTTTTTTTTTCCTCTTTCTTTCCCTCCTTCCTTTCAAAAAAATCTAATTAGGGAAAAACATAAATTTCTTAAGCATTACAGACACATTATAGAGACTGTTCCTTTATGTGAGTCACACTGTTCTCAAGCTGATGGCTACAAAGAAGAAACAACATAACATAAATCAAACTACACTGACTAGCATTTGTACATGGAGCCCAACCAACAAAGCAAAAGCACAACACAAAAAATAAACAAAGCAAAACTCATAAATACAGAAAACAGCATGGAGGTGGCCAGCAAGGAGGAGTTGGGGGGGGGTCAAAAGAGATGGGGACAAGCGGCACAGAATACCAGTTCATAATGGTGACTGGAGTTCACAGGGCTGGACTGTGTATTGTGAACGCTGCTAAGAGAGAAGATCTGAAAAATTCTCATTGCAAGCAAAAAAAGGTAATGACTATGTGTGACACTGGAGGGTAACTAGACTTATTGTGTGCTCATCTGGCAATGCAGGAAACATTAAATCATTATGCTATGTACCTGATACTAATACAATGTGAGGGGACAGACCTCCATTTAAAAAAGGCGAGCCACACTTTATATTTACTTATATTTATAATGCACTTTATTCTAAAGACAACTAAAAACAACTGTTTACTGTGCAATTTGGAGAGATTTAGGAGACAAATGCTACTTTTTTTTTTACTGTAAGTTTAACTATGCTTCTGTATGGACTCCTTACTCTCTAGTAAAAACATCCATACAGAATTGTGTGAGCTACTACTACTAAGAGTTATGCTGTGGACCTCTGATGCGTTAGGTGAACATTAACAACAGTAATCATAATGATACTGTAACTACTGTAAGAGTGTCTAAGAGAATAAAAGTTAATCACTCAAAAATTTCTTTCAGTATATTGTGGGTAGCAGTCTATTTATATGTCAGCATTCAGATACTCTTCTGCCTCAGACTATAGTGAACTCAGCCACTATATTACTGCATACAGCTTTCTTGTGAGCACGAATATTGAGCTCAAGAACAGACTAGAGTAATTATGTCCCATTACACAAACTTTTCTAAAATTCAGGTATATGAGCATCCCCTACTTTTTAATAATTAAACTTTGTTATTTATTTATATTGAAATAACATTGTTCTATAATCGGTTTCAGGGGTATAACCTCATAAACCAACATCTCGGGGGTTAGCCTCTTTTGCCAATGGGTAATTCAACTGGAATATTTAATAAAAGTAGGCATCATGAGAACCTTCATTTTTCTTAGATGTAGCAAACAAATGCACGGCAAACATGATGAGATAAATACCTATTTAATTACACTCTGGAAACTCTGGTATAACCCGAGTCACCAGATCACCTGAAAGACTGGTGTTAGGCATTGTACATATGTCTAATTGGGGGGGGAGCAGAGAGAATCCCTTTTTACTTTTTTTTTCTCTTACCCCAAACCACAACTTTATTCTCGAATCAGGTTTTCTGTGAATCTATACTGAAAATGGTTTTACTGGGATTGTCTCATGGCTAAGAAATCTATAAGCAGATGGATTTGGAATTCAATCCTCTGTGAAAAACAAAGGTAAATGAAAAAGAAGAACCTGGTGATAAATTTCTCTTTGCTTTCTAATTGTTTTGGTTATTACATTCAATTTTCATTAAATGCATGCAAGTAATGACTAGCTTCAGGGAAGACAGTAAACATATTAAAAGTATTAAAAGCATTTAAAACTAGGAATCTGGCCTAAATATCATTAAAAATTTCTACCAATCCAGTTTATTAAATTTCATTATTTTGCTTTTCCTCAAGCTGCTGTTTTAAAAATGATAAACAATATGGATAAACATAAAATTTATCAGCTGAACTATTTTTTTTTTAAAGATTTTTTTTTTTTTAAGATTTATTTATTCATACAGAACTGGGGTACAGGCCAGAGATGCGGAGGGTGAGAGGATTCACCAGAGACAGAGTGGGAAGCAAAACAGGCAGATTGACGAAGTACACTGCTGAGGGGAGCAGCAGGCAGGTCAGGAGAGGTCTGCCGTGCCATGTGGGTCACCTCCAGGGTGGGGATCGAACTCATGCTGAAGTGGCTTTAGCTTCTTAGTGCTGTGTTTTAACCTGCTGCACCACCAGGGAGGGCCTGAACTATTTTTTTTTAAAGATTTATTTATTTATGCATACAGAACTGGGGTACAGGCCAGAGGTGCAGGGGCAGCGAGAGGATTCACCAGAAACAGAGTGGGAAGCAAAACAGGCAGATTGACGAAGTACACTGCTGAGGGGAGCAGCAGGCAGGTCAGGAGAGGTCTGCCGTGCCATGTGGGTCACCTCCAGGGTGGGGATCGAACTCATGCTGAAGTGGCTTTAGCTTCTTAGTGCTGTGTTTTAACCTGCTGCACCACCAGGGAGGGCCCTCAGCTGAACTATTTTTAAGTCTACAGTTCAACTGTGTTAAATATATTTACAACATTGTGTAGCAGATGTTCAGAAAATTTTCTGGAGTTTAGTTTACATTGCAAGACTAAAACTATATACCCAAAAAACAACAAATGCTCATTTCTCCCTTTTCCCATTCCCTAGTAGCCACCATTTTTCTGTCCATTTCTGTGAATTTGACTATTCCAGGTATTTCATACAAATGGAACAACAGTGTATTTTTCTTTTTGGCTTACTTCCCTGATCATAATGTGCTCAAGGTTCTTCCATATGGCATGGGTCAGCATTTCTTCACTTTTTATGGCTGTATACTACTCCAATCTGTGTACATAGTATTTTCCTTACCTATGCATTTGTCAACTGACACTGGGTTTGCTTCCACTGCTAGGCAATTGTGAATAATGTTGTGAACATGGATACACAAATGTCTCTTTGAGAACCTGCTTTCAATACTTTTGTGTGTGCATATATATTTAAATAATCCTCTTCATGGAGGACAGGGGAGGAAAGTACTCACATGAGTCTCCACGTCCCCAGCAAGGACCTTACTCTTCTTTAGGAACTCAGCCACCATGCTGTTCATCAGCTTATCAAAGGCTTCCACTGAGGGTGCCACACCTTTGGAAGGAGAACACTGTTACTCCCTGATGATTTAATGAAAAGCTGGTATAGCCTTACCCTAGGAACTATGGAATTCTAACAACATTCATGCCATCATTGTATCCACTAAGTTTATTCACTCAATCAGGATTTTTCAAACACTTCTCAAGACTCAGGGAAACGTGTTTTCCTAGTTTTCATCCTATTAAGTACTTCTACATAATTTCATTGGATTCTTCCTCAAACTCATGAGCCACAAAGCACCATCATTTGATTGATGAAGAAGTGGAGGTGCAAACCAAGCACTTGACTTGAGCAGTTATATGCCAAATACTGGCATCCAGCCTTACCAATGGGAACCCAGTGTATTCTCTTCTCTGTTGAAAAGCGCAGATGCTACATGACCTTGCCAATGGTTACCAAGATTACCCATGACCATGAAAAGATAAACTTTGGGAAATAATAAGCCCTGGAAAAGAGAGCCGATTTCTCACATTTTGTTTCTTCTTCACTTCCCAGGGGGAGGAGAGCTAGCTGTGTGGGCACAGAGATGCACATTACATCTTGCTGCCAATTACTGCAAACGCTGAGGTAACAGTGGCCAACGTGGTGTGCTCTGCATTTCCCGCTCTGCTTTCTACTTGACAGAAAAATATGTTCCTGACCTTATGTGCTTGATATTGAGGAGGGGAATAATGGGAAACGTGGCACCATGAGCTATTAAAACACAAATTCAATCTTAGAATCTCCTTCCTTATAATTGGACAGAAGTATCCAGGCTCATACACTAGAAGGAACTCCTTCTGCCTACTTGGTCATTTGCACAGGCCCAAGAACACAGCTTTCTAGATCTATATTAACTTCGAAGCAGCTATTAGAGCTGTGTTAGTTATCTTCAAGTTTAGAATGCAGCATGTACCAACTTCTAGAGCCTCAAAGAGGTGCAAGCCCAAAAATTCCTTACGGATCCACATGGAAAGAGATCAATTTGTTTGCTGCTATGGGAGAGGCCCGAGAGGCCTCTGCTAAGTATTTACAGGGGGAGAAGAGTTTAGAAATGTGACAGGGGCTTGCACATAGCAGAAGGTACTGTGATAAAAGGGAATATATTTCAATTTCCTTTCATCACTCAGCTCTGCTCACACCTCCTCCGGGCAGCCTTTAATGACCCTTTTCTCCCCAGTCTGTACCCTTTGAGCATCCCTTAATCAAAGCATTTCCAGCTCGGAATGGTAATGCACTGGGACCAAAGGTTCTGGGGGATTAAGACCATGTATAATTCATCTTAGACACCCCTGCACCTACACGGTACTTGTCACTTGGCATGCATCCAAAAATAGTTCAGCCATTGTTGAGCCAAACTTACCTGATGGTGGTGGTGGGGGACATCGTCACACATGTTTACAGGTATCATAAGAAAGGAAGTCATTGATCGGTGCATATTATGAGTTTGTAAAGAACTAAGTTCCTTATACAAGTTTCGTTTTAAGTAAGAAATTTTCAATTTACTTAGATCATTGTAATGATATGTTTATATTTATAAGGCTAGAGGTTGTCCTTAGGATTTATTTAAAACAATTTAGAAAGTTGCCAAGCTTATTGAGAAGAAATGAAAGAGATAGATGGTGTTTTAAGATTTGCAAAAATGTTTTAAGGATGTATACCCATTAAGACATTTTACTAAATACCACTGACCCAACTTCATTTCAAGGAGGATTAATATATCGCTGGCTAAGTTTTAAAAAAATCTTCCTTTAATAACTGATCTAGAATGATTTGCTATATTAAAAGATCTCTGTTCAAATACTTAACTAATTTAATTATGAGCCTTCCAATGTTATTTAGCTTATCAATTTTCCCAGAACATTCTTTATTTTTTTTTATTTATTTTTTTTTAAAGATTTATTTATTTATTCATACAGAACTGGGGTACAGGTCAGAGGCTTAGGGGCGGTGAGAGGCTTCACCAGAGACAGAGTGGGGAGCAGAACAGGCAGATCGACGAAGTACACTGCTGAGGGAAGCAGCGGGCGGGTCAGGAGAGGTCTGGCTCGCCATGTGGTCTCCTCCGGGGCAGGCGGCAGGCGGGAATCGAACTCATGCGGAAGTGGCTTCAGATTCTCAGTGCTGTGCTTTAACCCGCTGCGCCACCAGGGAGGGCCACATTCTTTATTTTTGAAAAAGAAGATTTTTTTTTTCAAAAAAAAGAGAAAGAAATGTAGCCTAATACCACTTGAAGTGAAACAAGGTTCAAACTATTGAGTGTTTTTTGTCTTCCTTATACCCAACAACATTACACAGCATCCTGGAAACTGGATTTTAACTTTATTTCATGCATTCACAGCATCACCTTTGTGGTCAGCAATTCTAGAGAAATGTCTTTTGATCACCTGATGCCTGAGGTATAAGGAAACAAAGTTACTGAAGAAAACATGAACATATTTTCTTACAAATAAGGTTTACTGCCTCTCATATGCCAACTGTATAGTTAACAAAAAGAGGCTTAAAATGAAATCATAGATGTGTCTCAGTTGATGTGGAAAAAACTTCCAGGCCCCCGGCAGCCTTTCTTTAAACAACACCCCTTTCAATTCATTCAAAGCATTTTAATTTTCATTATGTTCAGGGGGACAAAAAAAATCCTGCCTGTGTATTTGTGCCCACACAGTAATTTTTGTCCCTGGGCATGTAATACAAGGCACAGTTCCAACCACGCTTGAAATTCTAGAAGCCCCAATGTGGATCTTGCCTGGTGAAAGCTTTTTTGGAAGCCTCTTCTTCCCCAAGGCTTTTCTCAGCCCCCTAAAGCCAGACAGAATTCAAAATGGGTCAGATAAGGAGGAAATGCATGTGAGAGAAGAATAGACATGCCAGATTAAATACAGATCGTCCAGTTACATTTGAATTTCAAATAAATGATGAATAAATTTTAGAATAAGTACCAGGCAGTATATCCCATGCAGGATTTGGAACTTGCTTATACCAAAAAGAAAAAAACAGGGTGTTTTATCTGAAATTCAGGTTTCATTGGGTATTGTGAATCTGTGTTTGCTAAATGTATTTTATCTGAAATTCAAGTTTAACTGGGTGTGCTGAATTTTTATTTGTTAAATCTGCAACTGTAGACAATCTGTAGATTATAGAGTTGGCCATATATGGTATTCTTTTAAAGAAAGTAGCAAATTTTTATTTTTAATAATGTAATTGAAAAAATGTAAAGTGTGTCATGAGTCCATCATTTTAAAAGCATATTGATTGGCAATAGGCAAAGGTAAAATAATGTGATGTGGTCATGTTGTATCAGTCATCTTTGATTTCACATCAGACTAGCTTCCTTTACAACTCCAGTGTTTACACGGAATGAACTGAACTCTATTAAGTTAAAAGCATCAGAATGATAATTCCCTCCAATTTACATTCTAATTGGGAACTTTGATTTTTTTTATTATTATTACTCAGAAAATATACTTAGTCACTGAATGCAGAACAGCAACAAAAACAGCGAAATATGTGAAAAAAAATTTGGCATATGGGTTTGCTTTTAAAAAGCGCGCACACTCTGGCAATTTTTGTGGATTGTATGTTGAAACTTATTTCAGGGATTGTTTGCATCTGGTTAAAGTCATGGTTACACCTAAGTCAAGAAGCAAAGAAACTCAAGAAAGTAGATCCAACTATCTTGTGAGAACTAAATGATGGGGACAAAAGGAAGTGACATAAGCAGAGCCCCAAAATGACAAGAGTTTGTGGTCCTACCTCCAATGACACCATTGATCTCCCCACAGTTCCCAGGAGGCTGGTGGGACCCGACAGCCAGCAGCTCCAGGCGGCAGACAGCTCGCTCCAGTCTTTCTATCAGCCCATGCATCTCCGCCATTCTAGAAAAACACAGGCACCAGTGGAGTGGAGGCCATGTGAACGCCAGGGAGGATTAGCAGGCTGACACTATTAAACTTCACAGCAGACCGAGGGGAAGTGAAGTTACTCAGAGGGGCTTTGCTTACCTATAGAATATCTCTATGTGTCAGAAGAATATGGGATATTCAAAAGGACAGATAACTTGGGACAAGAACACAACAAAATCAAAACAAATAATACACTTTTCTATTCAGTTCAATGACTGGTTTATCAGTCTCATGTGCGGTCCACAAATATTCACTGTGTTGACAACATCAGCAAGTGTCTCCTGGATATTTCTGTGTTCTAAAATGCGATCTGTGACTATCAACTGACTTAAAAATCGTGCGCATATATGTATCTCACTGTTCATACTGTCAACACTTACTGTCACTATTTCCAATAAATCTTTCTGTTAAAGCACAATTCTCCAGGGGACAGTAGCCTCATGGATAATCCCTGTTGACTCAATTACCTTTTCATCCGCCTAGCGCAGGACAACTATAAGCTTATCAAACTGTGCTTTTTTAGCAGAAAAACAGAGACAACAGTTTCAAGAGCTAAGGGAGTCAATTTAACATCAGTTTGGTTCAGTGTTTCAGATTACTGATTTATTTTAAAGTATAATTACTTTGAATGATGGAGATTTTGATTTAAAATATTAAAAATAGGGCCTTCCCTGGTGGCACAACAGGTTCAAGCGTAGCACTATGAAGCAATCCGCAGCCACCACAGCATGAGTTTGATCCCACAGGGTGCAGCAGACCTCTCTTGTCTCCCCCTCAGCAGTGATTTCACTAAATCTAGCTGTTCTGCTCCCCACTCTGTCTCTGGTGATTCCTCTCTCCACTGCACCTCTGCCCTGTATCCCACTTCTTGTATGCATCAATAAATATATATTTAAAAAGATATTAAACATGGGTTAATTCCCTTGTCTGCGGGTTAGTTTTAGATGCAATGGAGTTTTAAGTGAGATGGTTTTTGGAGACAGAGGTCTTCACTTTCGGTTGGGATGAACAGGGTTTGAAATCAACTAAAAGCGGGCTGCGTATTTATCCTTTTCACTTCCAAACAGATTTTAGATGGCTACAGTGAATGAGCATAGGGCAAGCACTTCAGAAGCTTGGTCCTGGGGTGTAGTAATCGAAGGGAACCTCTGAAGAATGAAGCCCAATCTAACTTGGCCAAGTTCATGAGTCCAGCTTATAGGTACCATAGCCCTGGCCAGGCTGATTTATGACTACTTTTGGCAAAATCAGGTTGCTGTTGCAGAGAATGAAACATCCCTCATCTTAAGCAGTAACTGCAGTTCTTCTCACTCTTATGAACTTTCCCAGCACAGTCTTGAGCCAGAGAGGTCTCCGCCAATGCCACTCTAGAGTGCAGATAAATTTTATTGTGCTAATTGTGTAAATATTTTGTATTTCTGCTGGGAATTGGGTAACGCATTCTCGTTTGCATTTTGTGTTCCGTTAGTTTGAGCTAAAACACAATGTTGACATGCCAGTGCCATTTTTAAAAGCAAAGTTATACTTATCCAAACAAGTGGAGAGCTCTGTGATTCTGTGCCCAAATGTCAGCCAATCATCAGCTATGGAAGGGGGTGGGCTCGAGGGTAGCACTGGGGGGTGGGGGGTGGGGTGGGGAGATTCACTGTCTATTTTGGAAAGTCATCTCCTCTCAAACTGCCAGCAGCAACTCTTTCAAAATATGGGGCAGTGTTCTCTGCCTGGCTGAAATCAGCATCTAATCCCAAGGGGATTCAAAATTAGAAGTTTCTCATCTATTCTTTTCCTCTTAACGTCAGAGCTTTTGCTTTCATTGCAATTGGAAAAAAAAAAAAAAGGGAAAAGACATTTAATTGAATCCTTTATGTAATCTTGCAAGGGAGCAGGGATCCTGTAGGTGGGTGAAGGCCATTTGAGAAATGATAAAAGCCCCTCAAATCTTTTAATAGTTGCCCATCTGTTCCTAGTTTTCAGTGTTCCCTGTTACTCAACTTGCCAAATGTTAACCACCGCAGACCTAGACTCAGAGAGGAAAGTATGTGTTTGCTTAGTTAGCAAGCTCCCTGTCTCCCAACAGAAAAGCACCAACCACCTCCAGCAGCTCGGAAAGCTGTTTCAGGGAGACCTGTTACATTTCACACGTAGGACTACCGTCCCTCGCTACCGCTTAATCAGCCTCCCTGACAAGACCCAAACTCACACTAGCTGATAGGGCTCCATCTGTTGAAAGACAACAGGAGTTAGCCCACAAGCTGCAGGACCCAGCAGATTGGTGTGGAATGCAGTCTAAAAGTGATCAGATGTCACTTCACATAAAATCACCAGGAAGCCAGGTCTTATCAGAGCCTCTTAAGAGGCCAAAATACAGTTCATGCAAAGGGGCTGGAAAGATGCCTCTGGCTTTAAAACTTTAGAGCAGTATCTAAGAGAAAAAGAACAACTGAAAGAGGGAATATACCAGAAATGGTTGTGTCCCCTACACACACACACACACACACACACACACACACACACACACACACATCCTCAGCTGCTACTCTGGCTCTAAAGAAAGGGGCTGGAAAGATGCCTCTGGCTTTAAAACTTTAGAGCAGTATCTAAGAGAAAAAGAACAACTGAAAGAGGGAATATACCAGAAATGGTTG